CCACTCCCACTCCCACTCCCACTCCCACTCCCACTCCCACTCCCACTCCCACTCCCACTCCCACTCCCACTCCCACTCCCACTCCCACTCCCACTCTCACTCCCATCCCCAGAGAGTGAAACCGCCGCCGTCCCCATCGCCGTCCCCATCGCCGTCCGCAAGCCCCATCCCCCCCTCCTGCCCGAGCGCAATCCCCTGCCTTTGCCCTTGTCCAAGCGCCTGCTCTTGCCCAGTCCCAGTCGCACCCACCAGTGCGGATGTGGCCACCGGCGAAGGTGCAGCCACCGGTATAGCCACAGACTTCGACACAGGCCTAGCCACAGACACAGGCTTTGACACGGACACGGGTGTGGAGACCTGCGCCGGCCTGTTAAACCCTTTCTGCATCGCCGGCGTACGGAAGACGATTTTGAGCTTGTAGGAGTTAGGGTTGGAGTTGGAGTTGGAGTTGGGTTGGAGGGCTGTTGGGACTGTTGCTGCTGGTGCTGCTGATGGTAGCGGCGGCGGCAGCGTTGATGTTGTTGATAGTACTGCTGCTGCTGCTGGCCTTGTTGTTGCCGTTGCCCGTGAGGGTGGGGGTAGAGTGGTCATCCCTACTGGTACTCTTCCCGACAGTGTTGGTGTTGGTGTTGCTGCTACTGCCGGTGCAGGCGCTGCACTCGTCATCCCCATCCCCATCGCCGTCGGCGCTGTTATCCCCACTCCTGCCGCCCCCACCCCCATTCCCACCCCCGCCCCTGCGGTCCCCCCCACCTCCCCCTCCCTCCTAACACACCAAAGCACACAATCCCCCACATGAGCAACCCTCAACCTCCCCTCCTCATCCAATCGCGCCAAAGTGCAGGTAGCGCTGCCCTGGAGGTTGGCAAGGGCGAATGCGGATAGGGTTAGCGAGGTGGAGGTTAGGAGGGCTGGGTGGGGGTCTAGGGGGGTGCGGGGGGGAGGGGGTGCTGGTGAGGGGGAGGGGGAGGCGGGGGGAAGGTGGGGTTGGGATGCCGGGGATGGGGATGGGGATGGGGTTGAGGTTGTCGGTGTTGGAGTTGGAGATGCTGTCGACGCAGAAGCAGCGGCATTCAAGGCCGCACCCCTCGCCTCATAACCAGCGCCCACCAGACACTTCCCCCCCTCCCCCGTCGGAGCCAACAACTCACTCGTCGACCCCGCCACCGAAGGTGACATGAGCGACGCCGCATGAGAAATGAGACTGAGAGCGAAGAGGCCTGGGTTGCACCTTGGTCCTTTGAGGCCTCCGACGCCGTCTGATATGCCCATGGAGTCCTTTTGGCGGGCGCAACATGACATAACACACGACACCGCAGAACGAGCAGAACAGCAGAAGGGGGAGAGCAAGCAGAGCAAGAGCGGTGAGCGGAGTCGAAGGAGTGAGGAGGAGACTCACGGGTAGTACGAAATAACAGTCTTCTCCTACTTGTACCACCCCACCCCCTCGCGGTACACACGCACCCCCATGCTTAGGCATCCCACTCGCAGCAGTACAAACGGTCCATTTCCTGTGGTTGTCCTCCGGTGCTAAGAGAGTGTCCGTTTGCGGGGGGAGGAGGGAGGGGGTGCCTGAGGTGGAGGGGTGCTGGGTTGGTGGTGCGGGGGGAGGAGGTGAAGGTGGGAAGAGAGTGGTGGTGCTCTTTTTTGGCCTTTGGCGGGGATGGGGATGGGATGGGGCTGGTGGTAGGGAGAGGAGGAGAGCAGGATAGGGAGATGGTGGATAAGGGGATGGGGATGAAGGAGTGAAGAATGGCGCGGGCGCTGAGGATGAAGTTGAAGTTGTTGCAAGTGTCTGAAGAGTACGTGATAATCGTCGTTTATGTGCTTGTACTAGTTGTAATTGTGCTGAAGTAAGCAGATGAGGACCTCTAGGTAGTGCGGACATCGTCCCCAGTTGAAGACTATGAACGAAGAAATGCGGGGGAGAGTGCGACACAGTTCGGACACTCAAGCACAACAGAGAGAAGGGCCACAAAGCCACACTCACTCAGGGCACTCTCTCAAATGAACGATCATTTTGTGGTCCGGTACACTGCGGGTACACATTCCGTCTTTACCCGACACCTTTTCACATAGTGAGTCACGTGCATTCCCCCCTCAGTGTGTGACAACGTGTGATGTCGACGTCACCTAGTGTTGCTCATGCTCGTGGGTGAGGACACGGATCTACGACTGCTGAATGGGATTGTCGCACTCACTCACTCACTCACTCACTCACTCACTGGCAGCCGCATTCCACCAACGAGCTTGGTGGCTGGCACAGCACACCACGGCACACCACTATTGATCCCACACTTTAACCGCCCCTCCCTCCCTCCCTGCTTGCCGCCTCTCGGGACGAACGATCCCCCCTATCGGATCAAACACCTGCCTTCTTTCCTCCCCCTCCCTGTGCCTGCCACCCCCAAGCCAGCACCAACCTCCTGGTCTTACACCAGAAAAGTACTCATACCGCTCGAGCTTGCTGCTGCAAGGAAAGATCCGTATCATAGAGATCGACATTCACCTGCCGTCTTTTCTGCTCTCCAGGGCTATGTATGCGGACAACGTCTCTAGTCATACACTCCTCTATCCTATTTCCTGCCCATCAGCGCCCCGCAAGGCTGGTCGACCGCACCTCGCTCAACAGGCTCTGCTAGCCTGGGGACATTCCAGAGAAACAGACACGGCTCTCTCCTGTCTGAGTCTATCTGAAGAGTCCTTCCTCACTTCTCTACTCCAGCACAGCCCCGATCCCTCCCGGTGCAAGTCCCCCCCCCCCTGAAGTAACACACAAAGCTGTCTGGACTCGCCAGCGTAGTAACACATATGTCTATGCTCCGTTAGCGGAGGGGACAGATCTCCAGCTGCTGCACAGGGTTGGGATTGTAATTGGGGTTGGGATCGGGACGGGACACCACACGCTCGCTCACTAGCAGCACTGGCTAGCTAGTAGGCCGCCATATGCCGCTAACGAGCTTACTGGCCACTGGCTCTGGGGGTTCGGGGCGGGATAACCTTCTGTGGTGAACGACGATAGCATTGAGCATAGGTCCGCGTGAGCGGACCCTCTATCTACGTGGCACGCTCAGATCCCTAGGTGCGCAACTTGCACACCGACCTAACCCTTGGCTCACGATCTAGAGCTCGACACCTTCATCAGATGATTCTAACAGCCCGCAGCAACCTGACCAGTCCCCCATATCTGCTTTGCTCTGCCTCTCGAGTGAATGACAGATCCTTATCTGACTATCCCTTACCTGCCGTCCCTCGCACCGCAGCAGGCTGCAGCACAGCCTTCCAGTCGTTCACTCCCCGCTGCTTAGTACTCTTGCGTAACTCTCCACCCCGCCTGCCAGAATATCCAATTCCCCCATGTACAGGCCCTCTCTTCACTCTACTTCCCGAAAGATCACGCCGACAACTCTGTCCAGGGATGATCCACAGCACAGAGTTCTTCCATCTTCTCGTATGTGCTATATCCCATCCATGCGTGCCACATGTACCCTGCCAGAGAATCTAGCTATAGGCGCCATCCCTCCCTCACGACCACCATCCATGGTCTTATTTCATTCCCTATTCTGCACAACGTCGAACCGCACCTGTACAGGGTGCGTTCCGCTCGCGTTCGACTCGAGTTGGCTGAGGAACGGCACAACCGCGCTGAACGGCTCGGTTGTTTTCGACCTTAGTCATTGGGTGACAGCTCAACACGCATAATGCGCGTGGTCGTCCACCTGTTGTGCGCCGGTATTGCATGGGTTCAAGTTGAGGCCTGATGTCTTGAGAGTCTAGGACATTCACGAAGGCGTTTCCCGGTGTTGTACAAGCCAAGAAGACTCCTCTACCAGGAAGAAGTTGAAGTATCAAACGTCTTTTCAAGTCCACTGGCACACCCCAACGTCAAGAGCCCGAGAGACGTTGCTAGACCAATGCACCAGAACACCGGGTGATACCGTAAATTTGACGTCCGTCATTTTAGGATCCAGAATATCGATACGAACAGACCCGGGATCGAGAACTTACCAGGAAGAACCGAACGCTTGTTCAAGACAAGTCCCTTGGATAGCAAGGACCGGGAGATGGAGTTTGACAATAGCGCCCAGTCATCCATCCCGTTGTTATCCTAAGCCGTATCTTGGGATTCGGGATAGGGGAAGTACCAATCTCTGATACCCAGTATTTCAAACGCAAACGCTCGTTTCCCGTCTCTTGATCATACAAGGCGAGAAATTACCAGGAAGAAGTACCGAACGTGATGTTTAAGACCACGTCCCTTGGATAGCAAGGGTTGGGAGATGGAGTTTGACAACAGCACCCAGTCTTCCGTGTTATCCTAGGCCCGTATCTTCGTATCCGGAACAGCGATCTCTGATATCCAGTATTTCAAGCGCAAACGCTCGTTTCCCGTCTCTTGATCATACAACGCGGGAGAGTCTTTCATCTTGGTGTTATCCTAGGCCCGTATCATTGTATCCGGAACAGAGGAAGTACCGATCTCTGATATCCAGTGTTTCAAACATCAACAATAGTTTCCCCTCTCTCTCGTTCGCACACGACCTCCTTCTGCTCCACAATGCCGTAAAAACAGCAGCACCGCCCTGCAAGCTTCTGATTACCTATTCTTAGCCCGCTTGTGGTCAAAATCTTCCCCATCGTCCGTCCTGTTCGGACTTGCCTGATCAGATCAAGATCAAGTCTGCATCATCTGCATCTGCATCTGATCAAGTAGTCCGGGATTACGGTGTGTGAAAATTCTCTTTCATGGGGTTTGACGACCCGTCTCGGCCCGTGCATCGCCGTTCCGGTGACCGGGCGCGGTGGGCAACGATCTTAGCGGCAATGCAGATGTGAGGGATTTGGTTGTCAGGCTGGCTTCGCATCAGGCGAACAATGATGACTTTCCTTATAAGGTAGGAATAGAGATCGTGGGTGGGTGCTTACATATGTGTGCGGTGTGCAAGGTGGACCCCTTCCTCCGCCTCGGCCGAATTCGATTGGGTAAACCGCTCCCGTTGACTTTGCGTGACTCCTCGCTCGCAGCAACCGTCTCGTCTCACAAATACAGGGCAATCTCAGGTGCACACGGACCATAAGGCTACGGCACAGTCACGTATGCTCAGCGACTTGCTCCGGTGCTCGCCCTTGACGGCCGATGGACTATGACCAGCTGCTCCTACACGTGCAGGTCGATATTGATGACATGGACACAGCGCCTCCTGTCTTCCGGAACGGTGTACCGCCCTAGGACCAACCTGGACGATCGTAGAATATCATTCTTGATACACCCCAGCATACTACGCTGCGCGTTGGATATTTCGTGGATGCGCGCCGCGCAGCGTAGTGTCACCTAGTGGATCGCACTTCCTCTGACTCACGCTGCCTCATCTTTACAGCTGCGCGACAATGACCGACGCGTCCTCTCCCGCGCCTCGATCCTAGGGACCACACGCCGAGATATAAACTCGTCCCCCGTGCCTGGGTGTCGAGTCACCGTGTATACAACCCCCGCCCGCGCTCCCGTTCTAGATTTAGGCAGTGCCCTCGTGCCCCGCATCATGGCATGCTCTACTAATTTCCCCACTCCACAGAACAACGCCGGTGCTGGTTCTGGTGGTGACTCCTCCCGCAAGAGCAGGGAAGACGCAACTCAGGCCACACGGCCAAAAGAGCCAAATGTACAACAAGCACAACCTGCGCTTGCACCCCGAGCCCTTGTTAACCCCCTTGTACCAACTGCTAGGAGGAGAATGAGCGAGCAAGCGAGCTCTGCGGGTGCTGGTGCAGTGGCGAGCCAACCAGGTAGGGCCTATCCGACAACGAGACTGTCGGTTTCTGAATGTCTCCCAGCCCAACCTTCGTCCACAATCGCAGTCCTTTTGATAGTCTTCGACTCCCAAACTAGCCCAGGACGTTCCACACCCAATGGAGTCTTGCACCTCCGCACCTCTCTTCCCGCCCAATCACTCCCCCTCTACCCACCCGCAGTGTCCCTCATCCCGCGCGCCTTCCTCGCTCGCGCAGGAGAGCGCCCTCATCAACTCGAGCAGTTTTCCACACCCCGGTACGCCAACTACGTCGTTTCCACCGCGCGTGTGCCCAGCCTCCAGCGGTCCTCCGAAGTGCTCTGGACTCCCCTCGGACCGCTTGCGGGCTTGATCGACGGCACGGCGTACACTACGGCTGTCGTACCTACACTGGACTTGGACGACCAGATGACGAAAACCTTCCTGGAAGAGCTTGCGAGAAACATCCCTGGTGGAAGGTTGCCATTCGACCCTCGCCGTGTACACGTCCTGTACCTCGCACCCATCGAACGGCGGTATCACGCAAGCCCGACTCAGCAGCAGCCGAAAGAGGTCATCTCCAACGTCGGATCGCCAACAGCCCTTCCTTCTGCTCGGCAACTGTTCTCTTCGCACCAGTCTTACCCGAGCCAAGCGCCGTATGCTGGACAATACACACCCGGTTCAGCATCTTTTCCCACACCAACCGGGTCCCGCCCGTCTTCTAGCTCTCAGGTCAAACAAGAAGCTGCCGAATCATCCCAATTTGCCCGTCGCCCTGGAGTCGCTTATGACCCTCGTACTCCGACCTCGCCAAACGAGAGCAGGCCGTACTTCCCTTCGAGGGAGAATCTATATATTCTCTCCCGCGCGGACTCGCCGGACGATGATTCCTCACCGAATCGGTCGTCCGACACGACTTCCCCTTCCGCGCAAAGCAATTCTCTCTCCCCAGCGGCGGCATACAGGCCCCTAAAGCGCGGTTCTTCCCGTGTGAGCCCGGCAGGTTCGGCAACCGCACTTCCCCGCGCCTACTCTCAACGTTTGTTAGCAGACGACATCGCTTTCCCGCACATTGCGTCCTACCTCGCCTCCCGATTCCCAGATATAGCCATCGCGCTAGAACGAAATAGAGATCCGGTGCCGTCCTTGACGGGACCATGGTGGTTCCACATACATACATCCGCATTCATGCATGTCTGCAACACGCTCGATATGTCCAACATGCGCGACACACAGGTGCACATCGTCCCAGCACAGTATCTTCCCGGACCTCCAGGCCCACAAGCTCCATGGGACGGCCGGATAACTGCGGACGACGTAGCGCGCTGGTTCGGCAGTTTCCCGAAGAGCAACACCGTCGCGCGTAGCACGATCCGGAATCATGTTGGCGTTCTTCGGCGCTGGCAGACACTCTGGGAGCGGACGGAGATGCAGTATTATCGCGATCGTGGGATCTTGGCGCGACCCCTGCCTCCTGAGGGCCCGGAGAGAGACGCGTACTACGCAACGGAGCTCTTGGGCGTGCTCGGGTTCGTCTTTGCACGCAATACGGAGGAAAGAAGGGAGTTGCTCGTCAAGGGGATGCACCCCCAGCAACTGGAGCGGTGTGCAAACCGCTGGCCATGGGGCGAAGTAGAAGACAAGATTGTGAAGTTCTACCCTGAGTTTGGGCCCAGGCGAAGACCGAGAGAATCGCGTAGTGGTGGAGAGGATTGAAACGATAAGGAAGGATAGACTCGGAAATTCTGCTTGGATTTTTCTCGTTTTCAGTTTGACTCAATTATCTCTAGACCTGGGCTATGGTTTGATCTTGTCGTAACAGTTCACTCCGTCCCACTGTAGCGTTAGAAGTCCTTTCCAAAAGGGAGGGATATGTCGGAACAAGGCCTGTGCCTCATTTTGTAAAAAGAAAAAGAATCCTTTCAACAGGTTTTGCGTCTATCGAAGAACACAGAATAGATGAAGAAAATAATTTATTAGTTGTGTTTTCGTGGTGGATTCTTGTGTATAGCCACCAAGTACTATTGTCAGGGCTACTTTGAGCTTTATCCAACAACATTGTTTATCAACAATCAACATTGATGCCCACCATGTCTTCTAATGGAAAGCCAAGTAGAGGTCCATCCCCAACACTCAAGCTAATCGAAAGCTCCAAGTTGATCCAACAAGGTGCCGAAGCCGTGCGTCCCTCACCCCCATCCCATCCCCATTCCCACTGACGCCTTCACAGAAAGTGTACCTCTCCCCCCCTTTCCCCGAACCCATCCTGCTCAAATACAGATTCCACAAGTCCTATCGACACCCAGCACTAGATGCCCAAATCACCCGCCAGCGCGTGCAGATGGAGGCAAGGGCGCTGGTGAGGTGCCTCAGGGCGGGTGTAAGGGTGCCTGGTGTGAGGGTAGTAGATGCGGGAGTGGGAGTGCTGGGAGTGGAGTGGATCGAGGGGGCTAGTGTTAGACAGGTACTGGGTGGGGGCGCAGAGGCTGAGGATGATAACGAGGAGGAAGAGGAGGACGTGCCGAGTGAGGAAAGCGAGAGGATGCTTCGCGAGTTTGGGATCACTCGAGGTGCGTACCCGTATTCTCGTTTGGCTGTTGCTGATAGGAAGAAGATGAGATCATGCGCCTCATCGGTCTCGAGATAAGTAAGATGCACAAGGCGGATATCGTGCACGGCGACCTCACAACGAGCAATATGATGCTTCGCTTGCTCTCGCCTCCTCCAGCGACCGGGCCAGCATCAGAGCTGGTGATGATCGACTTTGGCCTGGCAGGCACGAGCTCGATGGTGGAAGACAAAGCGGTGGACTTGTACGTCCTCGAGAGAGCGTTCGCAAGCACACACCCGGATAGTGAGAGTTTGTTTGGGGGAGTGCTGGACGCGTATAGGGAGGGGATGGGTAAGGCTTGGGACGCGATTTACAAACGTCTGGAAGAGGGTGAGCGGATCGTCTTCTTTGTGTGTTGTGTGATTGAGACTGATGGTGTCAGTTCGACTGAGGGGCCGGAAGAGAAGCATGGTCGGCTGAGTACGGTCGTTCATTAAGCATATCGTATCCTACATCTCCGCCGCCTACGCACCGCTAGCCAACACCCACGCCAATGAAATACCCAGTAGCGAAAACGATTAACCTCAACCTTTCGCACCACCCGCCTGGCCCATACGCATCTGCATCACCTGCAGGACGAGGTTGAGGTTCTCCTGCTTCTTCTCGATCGTCTCCTGGACCTTCTTGAGGTTGCCGTCGACAAACTCGATCTTTTGCTGGTAGTGGGAGGCGGCTTGGTCTCGTGTCTGCTTGGATGTGAGCGACTGTCGGAAGAGGTGGATACAGGAAATGGACGAGAGATTGAAGTGGCAGGCGGTCGGAGTGGATAGGCACACCTTAGACACATAATACCCCGTACCAACATCAATCAACACCTTCTCCGGATCGCTCAGCTTGCCATTAACATATAACGAGCTCGATAACGGTACAAGTATCGTTTTCCCTTCCTAAGGTGAGCGTAATCCTAGGGTGAAAGGGAAAGGAGGGCATACGAGCATTCCCGGGCCGGACTTCCTTCACACAGTCGAGGCAAGTCTTGAACTTTGAATGGGCTTGTTTGAGCTGAGCGTAGGAGTTGGTCAAGTGGGATATCTCCTGCAATGCTAATGATTAAATCGTCTGGAAGTTTTGCGTTGAAGAGGTACGCACCTCGTCTAGTTGTCGTTTGACGTCCTGCAATTGGGGGAGCTCGAGGTCTGTGACGGAGACTGACTGTGTTTGTTGGGACATCTTCAACCCTCAGACGAAGAAAAAAAAGGCTGAGAACACAATATGGAAAGGAGATAAAAGAGAAAATGCGGTAGACTCGTGTGCTGAATTGTGCGTGCTCGAGGACGTCTTGATGAAGAAGCTCGGTTACGTAAGCTGAATTTCCTGCCACCAGCGCTTCAATCCCTTTCATCTTCCTGCTTGAAGTACCTTCTCAACTACATTACACACTCAAAGCACACTTTAAATAACGACATGGCCGACCCAACACCATCCACATTCTTCACACCAGCAGCGACAGCAGCAGAAGCAACACGCAAGCCTACTGTAATCATCACCATCGGCATGGCGGGTTCGGGGAAGACGACCTTTGTGCAGCGTCTTAACTCCTACTTGCACACACCGGGGGTTCTGCCTTCCTTCCCCTCCCAGTCTTCCTCGACTATCTATTCCGAAGCAACTCCAGCACCAGAACCAACTCCTGACAAGGGCAAAGAACCTGAAAGACAACGCCGTGCGCCGTACCTCGTCAACCTCGATCCAGCGGTCTCGCACACACCCTACGAAGCCAATGTCGACATACGCGATACGGTAGACTATAATGAAGTGATGCGGCAGTACAACCTCGGGCCTAATGGGGGGATCCTTACTGCCCTCAACCTGTTTACGACAAAGTTTGACCAGGTCCTGGGACTGATGGAACGCAGGGCTGACGAGGTCGAGTGAGTCTATCACACCGCCTGATATCAAGAGTTCTGACAGAGAGATAGCTATATCGTACTGGACACCCCTGGGCAGATCGAGATTTTCACCTGGTCCGCCTCGGGTGCGATCATAACCGACGCGGTAGCAGCATCATTCCCCACGATCGTAGCATACATAATCGACACTCCGCGTACGACCGCCCCTGCAACATTCATGTCCAACATGCTGTATGCCTGTTCGATATTATACAAGACCCGACTGCCCTTTTTGCTCGTGTTCAACAAGACTGATGTGAGGGACTGCGGGTTTGCCGTGGAGTGGATGCGTGATTTCGAGAAGTTTCAGGAGGCACTTGCTAGTGGTGGCGCGCAGGAGGAAGACTCGGGAATAGGAGGATATGGGCAAGGGAGGGGAGAGCCGACGTATATGAACAGTCTGATGAATTCGATGAGCCTGGTCCTGGATGAGTTTTACAAGCATCTGACTGTATGTCCTTCCCTGTTTCTTCGCTGGATTGGGGTGCTAACATGGATAGGCGGTGGGTGTCTCCTCATTAACAGGAGCAGGGATGGACGACTTCTTCGTTGCGGTCTCCCAAGCACGAGCGGAGTACATGCGGGACTACCTGCCCGAGCTGGCACGCCTACAGACAGAGAAGGAGAAGAAGGAAACGGAAAGACGGGAGGGAGAGATGCAGAAAGTCATGGCTGATTTGAAGCTTGATCCTGAGGGGAAAGGGATGAGGTGGAGAGAAGAGGGCGAACTTCCGGAAGAGGAGGACGAGGATGAGGACGAGGAAGAGGAGGAAGAGGAGATCGATATGTCCCGTAGGGGAGATATTATGAACCGCGCAAAGGCGGCGGGTGGCTTGAAGACTGGACCGACGAGCAAGTGGGCAAGACCTGGTTGATATTTCTTCCTTGATAGTAGTGCATAAGTAGTTTAGAATTACAATATGACTCTGTGATTATGATTGGCCGATCATTAATTGTCGGTCATTGTCACTAGTTAGTAAACGAACGATTGGATAAGCTGGGGTAATGACATTCCGAAAACATTGAAATCCCTGAGTCAGTCTGTGCACAACTCTTCCACTCGCACGACCATGGTAGTGGACAAGGAGGAACAGCTCGCCGGTGAGTTCATATCTTGTCTACCATATATCTGCGCTCACTGACCGCCCACAGCTCCGGAACTCTCCGCCCGCGGGCTGGAGGCACTCTCCTCCATCTCCCAATTCACCCAGCTCTCCCATCATATATTCAACGACGCCTACCACCCTCTGACCAACCCCGATGGCTGGCTCTCCCTCGGCCTGGCAGAGAATACGCTCATGCACGAAGAGCAGGTCGAGTACTACAACTCCCACCTGCGGCTTACGGATGTGGATTTCACGTATGGGACGGACCTATCAGGCTCTGTGAGGCTCGGGAAAGCCCTAGCAGCTTTCCTCAGCCGGCCGGAGGGGGTTTTCCGCCCCTTAGTACCGATCGAACCAGAACAAATCGTCTTCGGTGCCGGGCTATCAGCGCTGATCGACATGCTCACCTTCCACCTCTGCGACCCAGGTACCGGGGTGCTCATCGCCGCTCCCTACTATGCGGGGTTCAACAGCGACCTCTCAGCGCGCTGCGGTGTTCTCCCCGTGCCGGTGTTCGTCGACCCCGAAGACCGGTTCGGGCCATCTACGCTGGACGCGTTCGAGGTCGCTCTAAAGAAATGCGAGCAGAAAGGAACGAAGATCAGCGCTGTGATCCTTTGCAACCCCCACAACCCACTAGGCTCGTGCCACCCCCGGGCGACGATCCTCGCCTACGCCCGCTTTTGCCAGAAACACAACATCCACCTGATAAGCGACGAAGTCTACGCTTATTCGGTATTCTCGACGTCTGACAACCCCAACCCGGAACCGTTCGTGAGCGTATTCTCGATCGATTTCCTCAAGGAGGCGCAATGTGACCCTGCGAGAGTACACATCCTGTACGGGATGAGCAAGGATTTCTGCTGCAACGGCCTGCGCGCTGCTGCCCTCATATCACAGTACAACCCGTCCCTGCTCGCAGCGGTCAAGAGCACGGGGCTGTTCATGAAGGTCGCTTCCCCCTCCGCGGTCGCGTGGTCCTGTATTCTAGAAGACGAAGCCTATTTCTCAAAGTTCCAAAAGGAGAACGTCAGGCGCCTGCAGGAAGCGTACCATTACACGACCTCCTGGCTGAAGTTTCACGACATCCCGTATATCCCCTCGAACGCGGGCCACTTTCTCCTCGCGGATTTCCGCAAATTCTTCACGAACAAGGATTTGGAGGGGAACAAGTTGCCCCAGATCGAGCAGGACGGGGGGAGAGCGAGGGATATAGCATTGTTTGAGCAGCTGCTGGCGAATAAGGTCTTCCTTGGGAGTTCGACCGCGTTCTCTTTCCCTATCCCTGGGTGGTTCAGGATTACCTTCGCGACGAGGAAGGATTATTTAGTTGTCGGGCTTGCAAGGATCGAACGCGCGATTGGGGTTGAGAGATGGCCAGGGATGGAGGACTTTGACATGCATGGGAACGTTATCGGAGAGCCAATCTGGACACCTAACTCAGAGAAGCTTACGGAACTTGCGAACGCTATAGAGAGGACAACGCTGTAGGCTCATCTGGATCGGAATTGTGGATACCTGTTGTACACCTGTACTAGTGTAGGGGTTACACTCGGACGTGCAATGTAATAACAGCAAGGAGGCAACGGGGATATGAAGTGAGCGGACGCTCGATCAAGGGCTGACGATATTGACCTCGGCATCCTTTGCCCAGAAATAAACCCTGCTCTGGGCTCTCTCGCAAACATCTCTCCACTCCTCTGCACCGACCATCTTCCGCTTCGCACATCCCTCACCTTCCAGGTCACTGTCCTCGTCTACAGTCATGTCGTCATACATGAGCAAGTTGACCGGGAGACCCAGCTTCTCCCAAACTTTGATGCACAGTTCGCCGAAGACTGCCGTTCGCGGGAGACGGAACTTCACAGTTTCGGTGCTAGAGTCGAAGTAGGAATTGCGGGAAGGGTCGACGTGTCCATGGGAGGAATAGTAGATCTTGATAGTCAGGTGGTCGCCGTCAACGGAAGACAGAGTTGTGGACCGCTCACGGCCGGCGGCCGTGGCAGGAGCTTCAGGAGGAAAGGCGAAGACAGGGGTCTCCGGTCCGGTAGTCGACGGGGTGCTCAGAAGAGGGGAAAGGAAAATGGGCGAACTGCTGCGATTCGAGGACGAGGTCAAAGTGTCGGCAGAAACGAGCGAGGGGCTGCGCCGATGATGGGGTAGGATAGGGTTCGGCGGGATAAGAGTGAGTGAAGACCGTTCGACTGGCATGCTCTGCGAACGACGGTGCATGCCAGTCTGAGTTCGGGTGGCCGTCGGGACGTATACAGATTCAGGTCGCTTGATCTCGCCAATGGACGGATTCTCTTCTTCGGGAACCAAGGACAACCGCCTGAGTCCTGTGCCATTGTGCAGCGTTGCCCCCAGTGTGAGCCCGAGCCCAACCATCCCGAGACCCATAGCTAGCGGCTGGCCGCTGGATGTGGAGCTCACAGAGCCTGAAGACTTGGACCGCCTGTGGCCCTTCTTACTGCGGGCAGCAGCTGGGTTATAGATCGGGTTGACAAGATGATGCAGGATGGGGCCTTGGGGAGGATGGGTAGTAGAACGCTCGCGGGAAGGTTTAGGAGGCAGTTCAAGCTTGATCGGGGAGGTCTCCGAGAGCGACGCGTGATAGCGGCGTTGGTAGAAGGCTGCGTCGCGATCCCGTGCTACAGGGAAGGACCATCCAACTTGAAGTCCGCCAGGCTCCACCATGCAAGGGGTGATTGGGGTGAGCGGTTCGGGAGTCAAGCGAGTCAAGAGGTCCGACTCTAAACTGGTAATGCTATCCTTGGTACGCGAGTGGGCTTGAGAAAAACGCGAATATCTGGCGCAACTAGCCCTGGAAGTCGGTCGATTGTCGATAAGATTATTGTCTTCTTGCAAGTATGCGAGATCAGAGCTTTGGCGACTGACGTTCCGACTATGTCGGCTGTGAGGAGGGCGGGCCGGGTAATCAGCAGGGTCATACGGGCTTGATTGACCTATCGTTCCGTCAACTCAACACGTCATTCTATGATAAGTTGAGTCCATACCTTCTTCGTCCTCGCTCGCGTACGACGATACAACTTCGAGCTCGGCCGTCCCCTTCGTGAAGCACTTGTGGTATCTCCTATTTGTGTTGCGCCCCTCTTCTGTGGATATATGCGCGTATTCTTGAGCCAATTAGTACAGTCCATACATGTGCATGTCCATAATCACGCACGGGTATCCTCTTGTACGCTGTTACGGAGCCCAGCTGCTGAAAGAAGTTGAAGAAAAGACCTCGATGGGGCAACTGAGGATGTCGGTGCTATGCTGCTCCTACTTTCCAGGGTGTGCGCACGTGGTCGAAGTCCGATCTCGTCCGTCAGGATACGAGGCAGAGTGAGGGAAGTCGCAGTCGTCAGAGATCCGGAGACAGACTCGGTGTATGCGGGTGGTGGGGCAGTGAACGTCGGCGAGATTGAATCCTGCTCGAGCAGGGGCGCGTTCACTGCAGTCCTGGGCTGTGCCCTCCATCCTGCGGGGCGTGGTCTTCCGGCTGTCTCTCCGGGACAGGCAAAGCTTTCTCCACTCATGGCGCGCTGTCTCCTACCTTTCTTCCTGGCACGACACTGGAAGAGAACCAGAGCAAACAGACCAGACACGGCTAGAACGAGTGCAAGGCCGAGTCCAAGTGCTGCGCAGACGAGGCGAGTTGTCATGCGTATATAAGACTGGACGAGTGAGGACGCACGGATGAGGAGTGAGGAAGGGCGCACGGAAGGGTGGCCGTCGACGTTGATGGGGACGGCTTGGGCGGGTTGCTGGCGAGCATGACGGCTGCTGTAGGGGATGTACATGTGTGTTGGTGGTGGTTGTCAGGCATGAGGAGAGGGGACGCAAGTCAAGGAGAGAACACTGCTGGTTTGGGAACAAGAGTGACCAGAATGAGACATCGTGCCCGGATCGGGTTGGATGACGTCGTCCAGATCAACATGATACGACACAGATCGAGGATGACGACGAGACTGGTGAAACAGTGCAACCTCTGGAACTTCTTTGGACGAGTCAACCCTGGGATCGACATGATCATCGGCGGAAGTCTGGGAGGGGAAGATCATGGTGCCAGTTTGCTAAGTCATCCTCCCATTCCGTGGGTGATCTTGTGCCGCGATCTGCCGTTCTCGTCGCCCAAGAGTATGCCTAGGAAAAGAGTTTGGAACTCTATGACGCAGAACGACTACTCGGAGACTACGTTGGGCATCAATCCTATCCTAGTCTTGAACCTTCCTTTTTCGGCAATTTAAGTCAGGCAGTTACATAAGCAAGAGATGACCAAAATAGGCAATTCCATCCGATGAGTCCACACGCATAATTGTCCATTCAGCTGTCCTGGCCTTTCATGTTGAAGGAAAGAAGGGCTGCTGGGCCCGAAAATATGTATGAAACATGGGGAGAATGCCAAGACCAGCCCTGACGGAACTCCGGCTCGGAGCTCCGCCGGGGGGTCCTTTCAGGGTCCTGTACACGCAGCGCACCTCTTCACCTCGTCCCATCTCTCACCCCTCCTCTCCCATCCAAAACATGTCGCTGCTGAGCGCCGAAAGCGTCGTCGAAACCACTACCGGCCCTGACCATGATATATGCGCGGTGTTCAAAACAGCTTTTCACCCCACTAAGGGGAATATCATCGAGTGGAGCGTGAAGACCTCGGATGGTAAGCAGACAATGGCCGCTTGCACGTCTTCTGACTGTTGTCCCATAGACATATCCCTCGATGGCATCGAGTTCTCCACTCTGCCGAGTGGGTTGCATGTGGTGGACGAGGATGTGATATATTTCACGAAAGGCGCGAGGGAAGGTGTATGCGTGTTCAGACGGACGAAGACGGACGCGGAGGGTCAACGTGGCTTCAAGCTAGGCGCGTTGGGTGTACTGCTAGGTGCGCATATATCCATCCGAGGAACGCGTAGGAGGCTCATTATATTCTAGAGGAAAGCACTCGGTCTCGGCCGTGGCTGCACGTCGAGAATCTGAGGCGAATGGCGGATCTCCAGCAAGATGCTATCGATCCGAAATCTCTCTCACACTATTTCGAAGAGTACCAAGTCTCAGATGTACCGCAACCTGTTGAAGAAGACCTCGAGGACGAAGTAAAACAAGCCGGGGTACGCGCACCATGTTCATAATTCACGCTTACTGACCCAATCCAGTCCTCGCATCCATACTTCCACCTATCCTCCTTCCTGCGGCAACTCGGACCCACCTCTCTCCTCCTCTACAAGTACGCCCTCGCCCGCCGGCGTATCCTGATCTACACCCACCCAGCTGTGGAATCCGCTTGTCAACTCGCCTGGTGTATCCAAGCGATAGCCGATATGGGCACGTTCGAAGCTGGCAAAGGCCGAGGCGAGAAGGTGCCCGTGCTCGGCTTGGTCGGGCTGATCGATATCGACCGGCTTAAGGCTGAGGGCGAAAAGGGTCGTGGATGGATCGCCTGCACTACCGACGCGATCTTCCTTGAACGACCGCAGCTGTTCGACCTGATACTGGATATGACGACGACGCCCCGATCAGCCTCATCTTCTTCGACGTCTTCAGAGCCCGCACCACCACCAAGACCGAACTTCTACATCTCCACGCGTATCCCGCACCCTCTCAAACCTAAAGAGACGCACATCCTTCGCCCAGCGCACTTTGCATGGTCCGACCTTCCGTTCTGGTCCTCGCTCGAGCGGTATATCCCACCCGAGGGACATCCAGTCAACAAGAGCTGGCAAGACCCCTGGCAGATGTATGAAGACGTGTGTATGATGTGTGCCGGGATGTTTGTTGGGAGTTGGCGCAGCTCGGGCGTCAGGCTGGAAGGAGAGGAAGCCGATCTCCGCCGCATACAGACGAGGCCGAAGGTCAACGCAGGGGGACATCATCGTTCTCCTTCTGGAGGGTCAGTGCGTTCCGCCCCGGTGGGAGAGATGTCCATCCCCCCGAAGAGGAACGCGATCGAGGCACTGCGCCGAGCAAGCGGCGCGACGAGCGAGCAGCTCTCGGCGACCTCGTTGCCGAACCCCGACACCGGAGTCGGCGCGGAGTCCGAGTCACCTCATCTGGATAACGTCACTTCTGCTCTGCTTCTCCTCTCCCAGTTCCAGGCCAACACCGCTGCACTCCTGGCTTCCTTGTCTGATCTTGTCATGCCCCCTCTGACTCCAGATGTCCCAGCGACTACCCCCGGCCCCGGTGCCCGTCCATCCCCCAGCCCGTCGGGCAAGCGCCGTCGTCCCTCGCCCAGATCGGTAACGCTCACACCGCGCGACCTGCTCGCTCTCAAGCTCGGACCGCTCAGCGCTGGGGATGCCAAGTTCGTCGAGTGGCTCGCGCTGGAACGACTCGGTATGCGGGTGAGCGTGAGACGCGGATGGTGGGACCTGAGCCTGGGCTTGCTAGGCTGGTGATCCCCCCGCGTCATCATCGAGAGAGAAGGAGGAGGAGGAGGAGACCCCCGTTTTACTCAACCCAGTCACACGATACCGCTGCACTCACTGACCTGTAATGCCTAGTCCTCTAATCGTCTTATACCCTTGTTCCTCCTTTCTTCATCCTTTGATCAACAAGTCTACAATCGGAAGTATAAACGGGGGAATTTATTACTTCCAGGATTTTTTTTCTTCCTTTTACTTCCACGGCCGAGTCATTGTTGAGCGCTCGTCTTTCGCCAGACGTTGTCGCTCTCGCTCGATGGGATCCTCCTCCTGTGTGGCTTGTTACGACACGTTCTTCTCGCGTCTTCCTGGCTGTCTCAGGGCTTCCGAACAAGTACCGTGCGGCGCGTGGGCTCTGATGTGTCATTGATCTGCGGGCCGGATGAATGCGATAGAGTGTCAACAAGGTGGGAGGAGGATAGGGGAGAGAGAGGGTAAGATTCATATCATATCATATGGGCATTATCGGAGGGTTGGATATGATTTAACCTCGATTTCTCACGGGCTGGGATGTTCTGTGATAGGTGGGCGCGTGACACAGACCCCCGAAAAGCGGTGTACACGTGTTCGCCCACCTTTTGTCGAGCTATGCGACGTGTCGTCACAACACAACACACCATCGACCATTGCATCAAATTGTCTTACTCTGATCTACTCTGATTATTCACTCTCTGTGCACAAGGAACAACGCGTCGGCAAGCTGAGCGTGACCTTCGCTACGAACAAGTCACGTTCTCGCTCTATTCAAATTTGACTAGCCGCCCAGGTTATCCTGTCATACACCCACGCGCCACTCCCCGACTCAGTTGATATAAGACTCGTCTTTATTCCCCTCCACAAAAATGGGTCCCACCCCAGAACAGAGCTCAGCATCGGACGACCACGACTCAATCTCACCCGTACACTCTGCTCAGTCAACAACGCCCCAGCAGCGCTCTCCCTCCCCAGACCCGCCAGCTCCAAAGGAGTCGACGCGCAAGAAACGACCTCCTCCTCCTCCTCCCCCTCCAGCAGCAGCAGCAGCAACAGGACCTCCACCTCCAGGTCCATACCCATTCCCCTACCCAGGCTTCTTCGGCTATCCCTACGATCCTAACATGCCCCCTCCGAACGCCGACGGCTCCTACCCCGCCCCACCAGGGTTCATGCCCTACGGCTATCCACCGCCTTCTGGTGCACCTGCCCCGCCCCCGGGCGCCCATCCGGGCGCGCCGATGCCCCCTATCGGGTTCTGGCATCCTCAGTGGGGCCCACCACCGGCTTTCGCTGATGGGAGATGGATGATCCCTCCCCCGCCTACGCAGGGCATACTCCCCTCCGACCAGGGACTCGTCGCCTACCCTCATCCGGGGATCGACCGGCCGCCTGCGAAGAGACGGAAGACAGATGAGGGGGCAGAGGGAGAACCGAGAGTGACGAAGAAGAAAGTCGAGATCGCTTGTGCCTTCTGTCGTGGTGCGTCCCCATCTTCTTTCTGCGCATACACGCGTATATGCTCACCTCCCGTTCTGCGACAGAGAGGAAACTTCGCTGCGACGGCGTCCGCCCTCAATGCGGCAACTGCTCCCTACGCGAAAGAGACTGTCACTACCAGCCCGGCCCTCCGAACCGGCGCGGCCCTGGGAAGAAAAGTCGCGCTTCCCTAACAGCCGAGCATCAGCAAGCGCTGGCGAGCGCCAACGTACTTGCGAGCTTTGGGGTTGGGCTGGAAGGGATGAGCATCCCCCCTCCTCCTCCTGCTGGGCTTTCTGCGACGGGATTGCTCCAGGGAGCGCCTAAGCGAGGAGGGGCGAAGATGGACCTGCCTAAGAAGAAGAAGGGCGAGCACCCCGCGCCCCAGCAGTAGGGCGATGCACGTCCTGTTCCTACCAGGGAGACTCGGGGTTGAATCTGCTTCTACTAGGCTGTGGGTGAAGTGAACGGACGCTGTAACTTGCACTGCACTCTGGTTTCATTCTTCCTTCTTCTACTTCATCGTTTCCAGCTGTTGTTATTTTACGTCCAAGCTAGAGCCGACGAATATGGCGAATATGTGATAACAAATTTCTCTCTCTCTCTTAATACTGAGCATGTCGGATGTCGGACAGTGGAGCCCTGGCGGGAGGGGTTAATATATCTTCCAACACCATTTCATCAGCTTCTAAATAAGTGCGTTATACAAGATATAAATACATCTAGGCACCAGTCGTCAATCCAATCCAATCCAACTCAATCCATCCAATCCAATGCACGCCAACCGATCCATCTATACCCCCTCCCTTTGCAAAGTCAAGGCCTCTCCGTGCACATCTACTCCACCAGCGTCATCACGGTCATCATTCTCACCATCCTCGTCTTCCAGATCCTTCCTCCCCCCAAGCTCGTCCTTCTCTTCTTGCGCGTCTAGCGCCCTAAATGTCCACCAAAATCCCGCACCCGCACCCAAAGACATTCCCGCGCAAACCGCATAGTTCCCTGCCCCAATCAATTAGTACAGTCCACCAGCCCAACAGTCCAGTCCAACCCCCCAAGAGAGAGGAGACGTACAGATAAGCAACGGGTCCCCCGCGAGAGGATTCAGACATTCGCCCAGGAGGGAGGCGAACGCGGACGTGGAGAGAAAGAGCGCCATGATGAGCGATTTCATGCTCTTTGGCGCTTTTGTGAAGGCGTATTCGAGCCCGGTGATGGAAGCGAAGATCTCTGATACCGCTCTACACATGCTGTGTGTTAGCCAGGTAAGGAAGGATGGGAGATGGGGACGTACATGAGCACATACGCTCCGGTTTGCCACCAGACTGAGATCCCGGCTGGTTCGCAGTTGGGGTCATTTGCTCGGTAGCCGCAGGGGGATGCGGTATAAATGTAGCACTGCAGTATCCCAGCCCAAATCATTGCGCTTCCCACTGAGATAAAACCGGCAAACATCCGTTTAAGGGGGGAAAAGTTGTATCCCCTCCGGCGGAGGAACGGATACAGCTGCATACTGCTTAGCAGAATGGCAGGGAGGAGACGGAGGAGAGGGGGGACGTACGTATTTGTCGAAGATCGGAATGAGGAATAGAAGCGCTATGGGGTTGATGTTGTTTATGACGTCGTTCGGGATGCCATGAGTGGTAAGAGTCGCTGCTTGACTCGTCATATTGTTGTACATTTCCTGTCAAAAGTGAATAAGTGCTTCTATCTTTTCTTCATGGCCTTTGGCCTGCTTGTGACATGTGCCATATGAAGAACATAAGGGAGAAGCAGACTTACGTTGAACGATATCCAATAGAACGGGTACCAGACGAAGACAGCGCAAGCGCTCGCAACCTTCCTGACTTCCTCCACAAACGCTTCATCCCAGGCAACCCGCCCAGTCCTTCCAAAGTGGGCAACGTACGAGGGCTTGGCCCGTTCCCAGAAATCGGGATCGGTCCACGCGCGCAAGAAACGGGTGGGGGAGAGGGTCAAGAGAGGGCGGAATGCCAAGGCTAGAACGCGCAAAGTGTGGAGGAGGTTGGAGCCTTGCGGTGGGGACTTGGTCTGTTCCTTTGCTTTAGCAGGGGAATCAGAAACAACGGGCGACTTACGTAGAAGCTTGATCCCCACCAGAGGACGATGGGACATACTGTTCCCTCTTAGCTGGAATGTATGTACGGTCGCGAAGAAAACGCACGGCAAAACATTATGGTCGGAAGAGAGAACGCGGCCCAGAATCCGACGTATTTCTCCGCAAAGGTCATGCAGAGCTGCCCCAATGCCGCACCGACGTTGATCATCACTGCATGCATCAAGAGTTCATCAGCTGGACGGAACAGAGAGTAGAGGAGAGAGCATACAATAGAAATACATATAAATTCTCGCTGTTGTTATGCTGGGGTCTAGGATTACCCTCTCTCCTTCCTCGTCCCTCTCCACAGTAAGCCTTTGTGGGCCGCGCTGCTGTTCCGCTACGAGAGGAGAGATGTTACTCTTGAACCCTCCCGTTCCGAGACCCATGATTAGAAGAGAGCATATGAAGATGGGAAGCGCAAGGCTCCGGTGTGGTATTATCGACGGGAGGGAGGGAAGTATCATCAGGGCGTGGCCGAAACTGGCGATAGTCAGAGCTGACCTGGAGAATGGGAGTCGCAGAGACGTACAGGGCTATAGCAACACACCAACAAACCGTCTTGAACCGGCCCAGGCGGGTATCGGCGATATATGCCCCAACGAGGGGGAGGACATATACCCAGAGGGTGTTGAACTGTGTCTATATGCCATCAGTTGCGTTCGTACGAAGACTGGAAAAGACGCACAATAGCGGCAGCGACGTTCGTTCCTAATCCCAATGCACCTGGAGTACCCGCAGGGTTCGCTCCGCTTGTGGAGCCGGGCGGGAGGGGACGCTGGCTGTTGCGCCGTCAGATGTGACTAGGCAGACAGGGAGGAGCAAACAGGAAGTTGGTGAATACCGCCGCCGTACCAGTGTACGAGAACCGCTCGCACAGCTCTACGAAGGCGATGAGGTATGCTGGCCATGATCTTTGACTCTCCCGTCAGTGTCCCGAGTGGAGAGAGAAGGAGGAGGATACGCACATCTTTCTACCCACACGCCGGAGTCGATGAGGACCTGAGCGCTCCTCCTCGGTAGGATACGGTTCCCAGCCATCTCGGGCACCGTGAAGATAATCAGAGCGCTCATCTTCTACGAGTGTGATAGACGTGTGTGCTTCTCCTACTTTAAGAGCGAACGATGTTGTAGATTTGTTGGCTGGAAGTCTAGATGTCAGCCTCGCGACTCAACAGAGCGACCGACCGTTTGCGTACCTAGTAAAGGTATCTCCTCGACCTCTCCATCGGCTATGGACGCGCTCGGGCGCCGTGCCATCCGACCAGATCGAAGTGAGAATGGACAGGGGAGTGCTAGGAGGACATGCTGGTCGTGCGCTTGACACAAGTGTGGGGCAAATGATATAACACGTCGCGGGTCTCTAAGGCATCGCCACGCCTAGATATAACATTTGCGATCAATTAAGTAACTTATATATTTCAGTGCTACATGTCACCTGTTTCTGGTAATAATGATTTTGCGAACAGGATTGTTGCCTACCATGCACAAATCAAAGATTAGCGGTAGTTGAGGTGAACCAGAGATGCTGGGTGGGTGAAGCCACTTGGTCGTTGAATATGCGTAACAGAACGAGAATGAATGAAGCAGAGAATGACAGCTTATAATCGCGGCATGACACAACAAAAACCCGCCTTCGTTATGCCGTCTGTCAACACATCTTATTTTCGCGTTTCTCATCCTGGCTCTTTTTCAGCCACATGGCTCGTGCTTGGTAAGAGCTCTCCGAACTCGGTATTTCTCCCTTGAGCTGCCGGAGTGTACTGAGTCCACCGAGTAATAAGTCTGCCCACGGCTCGCCCTTGACGATTGCATCCTCCAGCCAAGGGCAAAAAGTCTCGCCCAACTCCAATTCTTTGAAACATCTGAACAAGCCCGCACCGTCCATATTCCCAAACATGATGTAGGAATCTGTAGTCGCCAGAGCAAAGTCGAGGAACACGAAGAAGGGTGGCTTCCCAGGCACTTGAAGTCCGTTGTTCGGAGATATATCGCCATGATGAACGCCGCATAGATGCAAGCAGTACCCGCTGAACGCAAGCTGTACAACCTGCAGATGTGTTAGTTTGTCGAATGCAGGACTTTGACCATGAAAAGTTACATACCGAAACATGGCTCTCTCGCTGGTGCTCTGCCGAGTAGAAGGAGCCATCGATCATCCCTTGATAATCTCGTTTGAGTGTATTTCCTTCAACGTACTCCATGACATGTCCAATCACGGTCTGACCGCAGGGGAGTTGGAACTTGATGGTACTCATATTAGCAAACTCAACAACAGAAATACAAAGATCACGCACGTGATAGAAGCCATAGGAGTGCGGTAGTAGTAGACCTTGCAAAGGTCGCAGCTGCGCAAATGCCCATGCTTCATTTCTGCATATTCCTGCAGGAGTGCACAGAGAAGGTCCTTCCTCGTCGTCCTCGTCGTCATCATCTTCCGAATGGGGACAAAATGCTTCTTGAAGGAGCTTGACAGCGATCTGATGCAGTTCGCTGATACCGGGTACGTGCACGGATGCGAGCCAGACTTGTGCCCATCTGTCCTTGCCCATCTGCAGTCCACGCGTTAACGTCAAGGAGATACTCTCGTCTTCTTCGGAGAAGATAAGTCGAGGTCGGACTGGTGGCCGATAGGGAAGTACTGCCAAAGCAGCATCAGCATCGATGGGTGAAACTTCTTGATCGAAAAGACGCGTCGCTCTTGTCCCGTTCAGCAGAGTACCCTCCCTCAACGGATTCCTTTCGGCTTATGCCTCTGTCTGCGTTCCGTTCCGCTACATCCCTGTCAACTTTCTCCTGGCTCCCAATATGCGCTCATTGTATCGAAGTTTTGGTGGTGTTTTACACCTTCTTATGTATCTTAGTGGTGGGAAAAGGC